AAAAAAAAAAAAGAAATAGGATTTTGACGTGAAACGCTTCAATATGTTAATGTTTTTCAAGTATGTAAGGTAAATGAAGTTCTTTAATGCATTGCCTTTAGGCATATTTACACAAATATGTAAATAAGACATTTTAACTTCAGTCTTTTAAGAGGAAATGATTCCCTGACCAAGGACTTCTGTTTCACAGAATGTTTTAAATGTCACTGCAGGCTTGGAGCAAAACAACACAGTGAAGGGAAAAGTACCTCTAAAATTCTCAGGGCAAAATGAGAAAAATCGAGTTCCCAGAGCTGCTACATCGAGAACAGAAAGAATATGGCCCGGAGGTGTTATTCCTTATGTTATAGGAGGCAACTTCACTGGTAAGATATTCCCAGAGTGTTTATTTTTATGAAGAAATATTATCATACAGATTAAGTGTGTATTTTTGCAGAGTTTTATATATATATATAATTAATATATAAAACATAGTATTAAATCAAGCATGAGAAATACTCCAGTCACCTTGGTTGTTAGTTTAGAATGTTTTTGGAATTGAAAAATGTCTTTAGTGTTGAGCTCTAAAGGTTCAAAGTACTGTTCTGGTTTTTAAACTGAGCTTCAAATGTGCTCATGTCTGGAAGCTGATTTCTCTTCCACTGTCAGGTAGAGTGTATGTCCGGTTTGTAGAGTCTTGTACACATGTATTAAGGCATTGAGTTCAAATCTCTGATTGTAAGGGGAGTGTCCATTCTTAAGAGCGCTCGCTTGTGGTGCTCCAGGCTCATCTCTGTTGGTTGGTGAGCGTGACGGCATCTGAACTGCCCAGGCGGACTCAGGACAAAGGGGCCAGCATGTAGCCCTGCTGCTTAAGACACACACTCTTTTATTAACATCCTGCCATTTTTCCAGGCAGCCAGCGAGCCATGTTCAAGCAAGCCATGAGGCATTGGGAAAAGCACACCTGTGTGACTTTTATCGAAAGAAGTGATGAAGAGAGTTACATTGTATTCACGTATAGACCTTGTGGGTAAGTGGAACCAGGGAATGACTTAAGCAAGTGTAGACAAGGGGGGGAAAAATCCACAAGTAGGATTCATGTCTCAATATTTGATTAGCATTTTGCCCATGAGAAAGTGTGAATTATACATAAGAAAATATATTAAATTTTTTTTAATGTTTATTATTTTGGGGAGAGAGACGGTGTGTGAGTGGGGGAGGGGCAGAGAGAGAGGGACACACAGAATCCCAAGCAGGCTCCAGGCCCTGAGCTGTCAGCACAGAGCCCAATAGGGAGCTTGAACTCACAGAGTGCAAGATCATGACCCGAGCCGAAGTCGGACACTCAACCGACTGAGCCACCCAGGTGCCCCAAGAAAATATTATATTTTAAATAAATATATTCTCTGATCACACACTTTGATCATACACCTACCCCAAGTGTGTTTCTCCACCAGGTCAACTACTTTTCTTTGTGTTGCAACTGTAACAGTGGTATGGCCAACATCCCACTCATCTGAATTGGAAACTGGTAATATTGTCTGGTGATTCTCTTGTGCTCCGTCTAAAACCTATGCATAAGATTACATTGATATTCACCGTGTCTGTTGATTTCCACCTCTAGCCTATGTCAGTACCTCAGTGCATATTTATCTCTTAGTCGTACCACACCTGATCTATTCCGAACGCTCTCCCGTGTTCCTTCACCAACTTCCTGCCACTAGAATTATCTTCAAAAAATGCCGGACTGAGCAAGATACCACACTTTTTGAGGTGTTTCAGTGCTTCCTCGGACAGTGGCGCTTTCTAGATTTTCTCCTTACAGGCGGGTAACAAATACTCTCCAAAACAACTGTTCCGTAAGTTGTGAAATGCTGTGTTACATTTCAGTAGGTATTTCTGAGGCAATGTGCTAAGGAGCACTATGAATATTCAACCAATTGAAGAGAATATAGAACCCAGTGTTTTTTAAACTTCTTGAAACACGAGAGCACCCATGCCCCTCTTTCAAAAGTGAAGAACACGCATCAGTATCCCAGAAATGTTAGCCTGCGAATAAGATCCAAATCCCTTGATATAACATTTAAAGAATGCCATGAACTTACCACAGCTTCCATCTGCAGCTTCTTCTGCCACCACGTCTCTGCACAAATCCTAGAATGTAGCCAAGTGACATTAATAGCAGCTCCCCAAGCAGTGCTGTGTCCTTTAAAGACGGTTTCCTGTGAGAGGTTTCGAGCTTCTCTCCCCTCTGCTTCCACATTCGAACATTTGATTAAATGGAATGGGTGCTTGCTGAGAACACTTGCTAGGGTTTGCCGTCTGCTTTACATTGCATCCCGTCAGGAGGCACGCGCTCTGGGTCTACCACGTCAGTGATGCCGCTGTTGAGCAGTGGAATCCAGCACTGACAGCCAAGTCCCTCCATTGTAAAAGTTCTCATCATTGCAAAAGAGTGATGCTCTAATGTGGTTCTTTCCTTTGATCCCGTCTACACTTATCAGCTAGAATCCTTCTATACAGAGGGATGTTCTTTAGTCAGCTATAACTATCTGAATACCCTCTAGTATAGTTTACAGTGAGGAAGTAAAAATGCTTAATTCCTTTGGAGGAAATAGTTCTTGCCCGATCACATATAATTTGGGAGGAGGGAATGTATATTTCACTAGGTACTGGAGGAGGATTATGCGATCTGGAGGATCTGGAGGCACTGGGGGAGGATTATGTTATCCCCCACTAGGTACTGGGGAGGATTTTTCTATCATGTATTCCTACAACATTTAACCTCACTTAAAAAGTAATAAATTTTAGGGGTGCCTGGGTGGCTCAGGCAGTTAAGTGTCTGACTTTGGCTCAGGTCATGATCTCATGGTTTGTGGGTTTGAGCCCTGCGTCGGGCTCTGTGCTGACAGCTCAGAGCCTGGAGCCTGCTTCAGATTCTGTGTCTTCCTCTCTCTCTGCTTCTCTCTAGCTTGTGCTCTCTGTCTCTCTCTCAAAAATAAACAAACATTAAAAATTATTTTTTAAGTAATCAGTTTTAGTTTTGGCTCTATCTAGGGGTCAAAATAATACATTATTTTTTTCTGTATAGTTTTGGAAAATGCTATAATTTTTTAGTTTTGACTTATTCAGGTAATGTTTTCTTCCAAATTACTCTAATTTTAGCTTGACAGGTTTTGGTTACATTTGGAATGCCTCCTAGTTCTTTATATCTATTTAATATTTAAAAGATCCAAATCTAGACTGTCCTTCCTTCCTTCTGGTTATCTAATAGGAATGGATATAGCTCAGCTTACATATTTCTAAATATATAATGTATTTAGATCAATACATCTTTCTTTTTTCTTTACCACCTTTCAATTTTGTAAAACAAATACAAACAAAGCACTGGCATACATTATTTTATTGATAAATTTCTGTTTGTAACAAATTCATAGTTCTACTCATGTTCTTTCATTAATTTGGCTTTTTAAAAAAAATTTTTCATTTTACTTGTTTTATTCTGCTAAACTATTTTTGCCATTCACTGTCATTTCTTCATGTTTTTTGCTTGTGCTTTTCTGATTGCTTGGACTGCCTTTGTTTCCATTTTTATCAGTGGAAATCATTCACATATTTCTTTGTCACCCATTTCTGAGCTGCCCTCAGTGGGTCATTGCTCTACCCACAGCTATAATAGTTACATTCCCACCATTGGTTCATAGGTCTGCCTTCATCAGTGCTGAGGGCTGGTAGCTTATCTCTGTGTCCCTTGGGACACCCAGCATGCTGCTTTACAGATAGGTGATCGAGAAAATCCTGACAATTTATGCATCAGCTAAAGCACATTCAATGTAATCCTAAAAGAAAATTATGTAAGGATTTAAAGATGTATTGTAGAGCATGCACTTTAATGATTACTGTAATGACTTCAGAGAAATGCATACTGAAGGTGTGAATTGCCCTCAGATCTTTAAATCTGTATTTACACTCTTGGAATTAAACTTTTGAGTATTTACATATACATATAATTTTGACTATTATGGTAGTAATATTGCATTTGATCATTTGTTTTGATACTCAGTTTCCCTATATTACATTTTCAGTGATGGGAAGAATGATACATTTTATAGGAATCGATCATTGGCTTGTTAACCATTCTGACCATTTTGTGACTTCTAAATTTCATTTGGAACTACCACTATTGGCCATAATTTCATGAAACAGTTATTTCATCATTAAGGAGATTTTTCTGTGATGATGCTGTATTTAAATCTCATAGATATTAATCAAAATTATTAAAGAGTTTGGTTGTTGGTAATTACACAACATACTGAGGGCCACTGCAGTCAGATATATGTCAAGTCAAACACATAACAGTCCTATTGGACTTTAGTACTGTGTCTTTTATATCATAAAAGCTGTTGCACATAGGGCATCAAATTTAATAATATCTAGTGTAACTCCATTGAGTACGGAGAGGCTGTAAAGTAGGGCCACTGATACTGATGGCAACATTGACCGTTCTATTTCTGGCTTTAAAATGGTAGGCAAACACATCTTACCACTTCATATCACTTTTTTCATTTTACTTACCCACTAAGCTTACCCACTAAGGCAACTTGTAGCTATTGTAGTTTTTTCTTTTTAATGTTTATTTATTTCTTTTGAGACAAAGAGTATAAGCAGGGGAGAGGCAGAGGGAGGGAGAGAGAGAGAGAGAGAGAGAGAGAAAATTCCAAGCAGGCTTCACTCTGTCAGCACAGAGCCTAATTCAGGGCTCAATCTCATGAACGATGAGATGATGACTTGAGCTGAAATCAAGAGTCAGAGGCTTAACTGACTGAGCTACCCAGGCACCTTGCTATTGTAGTTTTTAACAAAACAACAGGGGGCTCCAGGGTGGCTCAGTTGGTTAGGCGCCTGCCCCTTGATATGGGCTCAGGTCATTGGGGTGAGATGGAGTTCTGTGTGGGGCGTCTGTGCAAAGCATGGAGCCTGCTTTGGATTCTCTCTCCCTCTCTCTCTCTCTCTGCCCCTCTCCTGCTTGCACTCTCTCAGTGCTTTCTTATTCAAAATAAATACATAAATAAATAAATATTAAAAATATAAAATAAAGCAATAAAAATTGAAGCTAAAATAATGTCCTCATATTAATAGAAGAATTATTAAATGTGGAACGACTTGTACTATTTAGCACGTTCTATTTCCCCTTTTATTTTGCTAGAATCAGCTCTTTTTCACTAACTATTTATTGGGTGCCTAATTCCATATCACATCTTTGGTAAGTGGGAAAATAATAAAGTTTTTAAAAAACAAAAGGTAAAGTTCAGAACTTTTTAGTATATGATATCTTTGATCCGTCTTCAATGGGACGTATGCTTTAACTCACTCTTCCTATGTTGGCAAAACGTTTAAACTTAACAATAAATACTTTTTAAGTGAATATTTATTGTCATCAGTGGCATTTGTTTATTTCACAAGATTATTAATTATTAGCAAAATGATCATTTTATAACAACTGGTTTGATTTATTTCTTTGTAAGGCAGAAATTTATATATTACTTTTGTCTACTGTACAACCTTATATTGCTGAATATCCTCTATTTTTTAAGCACAACTTTAAAATTTTTTACAGTCTTATATTAGTTTCAGGTGTACAATATAGCAATTCAACAATTCTGTACATCGTGTGGTGCTCATGTCAACAAGTGCACTCCTTAATCCCCATTACCTCTTTAGCCCATCCCCTACTCTCCTCCTCTCTGGTAACTATCAGTTTGTTCACTATAGTTAAGAGTCTGTTTGTTTAAAATTTTTTTTAAAAATATTTATTTTTGAGAGACAGAGAGAGACAGAGCATGAGCAGGGGAGGGGCAGAGAGGGAGACACAGAATCTGAAGTAGGCTCCAGGCCCTGAGCTATCAGCACAGAGCCCCACGTGGGGCTCGAAGCCACAAACCATGAGATCATGACCTGAGCCAAAGTCTGATGCTCAACAGACTGAGCCACCTAGGTGCCCCAAGAGTCTGTTTCTTAACTTTGTCTCTG